TGGCACAGGGAGACGGGATGAGCACTGCGGCAGGGCTGCGAACAGCCGCTGCCTGCACCAGCCACGGGACCTCACAGCACAAGAGACAAGCACTTAGGCACACGTGCGCGCGCACGCGCGTGTTTGTCTATGTGCGCGTGTCCCTTGCAGACATGCTACGCACATGGAACGGACACATACACTGCGCACGTGTGCATGCACACACACGGTACCCCGTGGCCGTGCAGGAGGCGAGCTGTGTGTGTGTGTGCACATGCGTGTGCATGCACCCACAGTATGCTCCGCTATCCCCATACATATAGCACTGTACCCCCCCATCAGCCCCCCACCCCACAGCACCCTGGGGGGGGGGGGGGGGCGGGGGGGCGCCCCCCAGGCAGTACCAGCAAAGCTGGGCGCAGCTGTAAGCAGCATGGGCACAGCTCTATGCTTCTCCCTGCCCTGTGGCGGGGCAGGAGGACTCGGCAGCACTTTGGGCCTGGCTGGGGGCAACGGGATAAGGACAGGGCCCAGCTGTCCTCAACAGCCTTGGCATGGGCAGGGGGACCTTCCATGGTGCTAAGGGGGAGCAGGATGACCTGCCCCCGCCCCCTGAGCTGCTGCTAGTGAGAGATACCAGAGGAGACACAGAGGGGCTGAGCCAGCCCACTCACTCCGAGCCATCTGGGGACGCTTGGTCTCCAACCAGTATTAGTGGAGCAGGATGCACTGGGCAAGGCCGGGCAGTCTTAAATCTGTCTTCCAGCTACAGCCCTCTTGGCTCTAGCTCTTGATTTGGGGTGGATGGGGTGGGACCCTTCCCACCCCAGCTTGTCCCCTCCCAGCCAGAACCACACTCCCCATGCCAGGGTCCGGAGGGGGGGGGCACGGAAAGCGCGGGGCGCCAGGGGCGGGGGGCGGCAGGGTGCTGAGCCCCGGCAGGACGTTCCAGCTCCCGTGGCCCCGTCCCAAGCCCCCCGTGCGACGCCGCGGAGAGGCGCAGTTTCCCGCATGGTGCCCGTGCCCTGCCCCATGTGTCACGACGCTACTGTTCACCTCTAATTGTTAGCAATAACGCGCGCGTCCCTGGGTAGCGCTGCCTGTGCCAGTGTCTCTCCCGGAGTAGAGTTCTAAAGTATCCTAGACTTTAATGAGATTTATATTCCTGAGTCCGTGGCCTGTTGTGACCTTCTTTGGGGAGCTAGTGGGGGTTCAGAGGGGGCAGTGGGGGACCTATTTCCCCTGGGTGCACCCTTTCCTTTTGGATGCTCAGTGCTGGCACTAAGCAGCCAGGATGGGCACCAGGGAATGCTCCAGGCCCTGGCTCCTGCCCTTTGGGCTAGCAGCCCTTCCCTGTTCGGACCTATAAAATCCAGCCCAGGGCTAAGCCAGCACAATGGGGGACAGGGGCTTGTCTTGCTGGGGAAGAATGTTGTCCCTGCAGGGGTCCAGCAAGCATCCCATGGAGCAGAGAGGGCAGCTGGCTTTTCCCCATGCACACGCTGGGCATCTTGCCCTAGCTGCAGCCTTTGCAGGGCAGGAGCCTCCGGTGTCGCCCCAGGGCTGAGCGAGCAGGGGGCAGCACTGAGGGTGGGGAGGGCAGGAAGGGGGAGCCGTGCCCCACAGCCCCTGGCTGAAGGAGCGAGCGCGGACAGGCAGGGGGGGGCCAGGCAGGGCTCTGGGAGGACGGTGCAGCTGGGTCCTGGCGGGTGGCATGGTTGGCTGGCTGATCCCATGCGCAGGGACCCGAACCTGCTGCAGGGCTCCGTAGGGCTGGCGTGCCGGGGCCCAATGGGGACACAGCACCAGGCCCTGCTGCAGCTCCCAGGGGGCTGCCTGGGGGCAGGGGGGATCTGCAGAGAGAGCAGAGAAAAGCAGAGGTTGCCCAGGGCAGCCCCAAGCACCTGGCAGCATTTGGTGCCAGGGCAGAGAGCACTGCCAGCATCCCAAGTCCTGATCTCAGCAGGGCCCTGTGAGGAAAGGCCCCCCAGTGCTTACCTGGGTGGCTGGTCAGGGCTCTTCACCTCTGGGGAGAGGCTGGGACGTGCAGGCCAGGGTCCCAGCTGCAAGTCCTGCTCCATGGCTCTCCTCTGGTCTTGCAGCTCTGTAGGGAGAGACGTGGAGAGGAAGGAGCATCAGGCCATGTGCAGGAGAGTGTATCCATCCCACGCTTGATGCAGGGCACAGCGCAGGATCTCCCCCTCTCCTGACACCACCAGATGTCCAGAGCTGAATGTGAGCCCCGACTTGCACAGGTGCCTTGCCTATGTGCCCTGCTCTCCTCCCCACACAGTCTCCTTACCTGCCAGGGTGGGCTCCGGTGCCTGTGGCCCCATGGCAGCACAGTGTCCCTCCTCCAGGCAGCGCTGGAGACAGAGGGAGAGTCAGACCCTCCTGCCCCTCTCCCAAGGGTCTCCCAAGCAATGGGGCAGGAGGAGAACTGAACAACAGTCCCACATCAGTGACACACAAGGCCTAGGGCTCCTAACGGAGAGCGCTGCCACCTTGCAAATTGGGGCTGGGCAAGGGAACCAGGCATCCAGCTCTCAGATCCCCTCATCACCCCATGTGCCTCCTCCCCCAGCAGTGGGGAGAACCCAGGTGTCTGGGCCCCCAGCATGTGTGCCCTCCCCAGCCTCTCCCCACTTGCTGGCCCAGTACCGCCAGGCTGTGCACTGGGAGAAGAGCCTGTGGGGTCCTCATCACCCGCTGCACAGCACAGAAGTGGGGCAGACCCTCCAGCCAAATGACAGTTAGGCCAAGCCCTAGGGGCACACATAGGGCACAGGACTCACCTGGAGGTGGGCAATGTGTTTCTCCAGGTCACAGCACTCCTCTTCCAGCATGGACCTGGGGCAGAGATGGACAGTATTTGGGTCCAGCAGAGGGAAGGGGTCTGCCTCAAAGCAGGCACCTGCACCCCGTCCTAGGACCCAGCGTTGGCTCAGCAGGGAGACCAGGGCAAGGTGCTGCTCGGGGTGTGCTTGAGCTTTCTCGGGGTGGAGGGAATGCCCCAGGGGGGAAACAAGGCTCAGAGCAACTGTCCTTCGTGGCTTGGAGGAGAACGCCAGCATCCTGGCCCAGACACCACCCCAAACACCGTGCCTGTCCCCCACTGACAACACAACCTCCAGCGTCTCTGACACAGCCTTGCCCAGACACCAACCCCAGGGACAGGATCTGTGCTGCAGCCAGCCCAGCAGCTCGGCAGGGAAATGGAAGCACAGCCCCAGTGAGGCGTCAGGGACCCTGCCAGGCACTCACTTACCGGAGCTGGGGCAGCACCTGGGGCAGGTGGGTGATGTTCAGCTGGTCTCTGAAGGAGTCCAGGCGTTGGGCCAGCCCCAAGGCCAAGCTGGGGGCAAAGCACAGGCAGGGTTTGCCCAAGGCCTGGGCTGGGGGAGCAAGGCCAAACAGTGCTCCCTGTGAGGACACTGCAGGGTCTGACCCACCCCAGGCAGTGCAGGGGGCCAGGGAGCCACCCTGCGAGGCCTCTGCTCCCAGCAGCCAGCCTGGGGATACAGCAGAGGGCCTGTGGCTGTAGGGTGGATATGGCCCATGGGTGTTGTGCAGGATGGGGACTCACCTGGGAGCAGTGTTGTCCTGCAGGAGCATGTCTTGCCTCCTTCCTGCAGTCCCCTCCATGGCAAAGCTGACCACGTGGGGGCTGTACCTTGCCACAGCTGTGCCTCCATCCCTGCAGAAGACCCCCGGGTGAGGTCTCTGCCCTGAGTTGGGGCACTGACCCCTCCCATCACCCATCGGGGGATGCTCATGGCCCTCATGCTTGGGGGTCTGAAGGGCTTCCACCACCCTCAGGTGATGCTGAGCAGCCAGTGGGAACAAGAGTCCCGGGTCCTCCCACTAAGCTCCCCGCAGGTGTCCCGGGACTCCCTGGCACTGTCCCTAATTACAGTGCCCTATGGGGAGGTGCCAGGGCTACCCTAAATCCCAGCTCCACCACGCAGTGCTGGGGCAGCCCCAAATCCCAGCTCAGCTGTTGGGTGCAGGGCAG